ATATTGAACTGTATATGCTGTGAAGTAAACTATATGTATTGTATATTGAACTGTATATGCAGTGAAGTAAACTATATGTATTGTATATTGAACTATATATATTGTATATTGAACTGTATATGCTGTGAAGTAAACTATATGTATTGAATATTGAACTGTATATGTAGTGAAGTAAACTATATGTATTGTATATTTAACTATATATGCGCAGTGTAGTAAACTATATATATTGTTTATTGAACTGTATGTATTTTATATTTAATTATATATGCGCAGTGTAGTAAACTATATATATTACATATTTAAACTGTTTTACTATGTGTGTGATCTTTTCTTGTGCCCGTAGCCTTTGAAATTGGAGAAGGGAGTTACCTGATGACAGTGAAGGTCGAAGGACAACCGATCTTCGAGGACCGATTGGATTTCACATGCGAATTTATCCTTAAAGCCAAAGACTATATAAACTTCCCGTATCGGTGTCCCCTCGCCGTTAACAGTATGTGGTGTTAACCAAGTTCTTGAAAGTTTCATACACGCTCATGCAAATTTACCTGTTTGATGAATTCCATAAGTAGTTGAATTATTATTCCCTTTATTTCCTCCGAATCGAGGATTCATAAAGCGAACGATATATAGATATCCATTCATATTTGACAGAGTAAAGTGCATGCATTAACACAATATGCATTAATGAAATTCAAACGATAATTGTTTTGCAAAGTACGGGTTGAATCTGGAGTTAACTCCCCTTTGCGTCTTCACGCTCAGGTTAGAGAAGTGAGATAACCAAAAAACGAAATAAAAGAAAAGAAAGTCGGATACAATTGACACAGTATGAAGCTTAAGTTAAATCATCATTTGTCATAAGGCTGCTCATTCTGTATAGTCACATAATTTCCGAGTATTTGAACTCGTTGCTATATTTCCCACAATTTAAATGAGGATATATATGATTTAAAAGATCGTGATCAGGATACATGGAATGTAAACACACGCTTAACACTATATTTCACTTATATTTATAACATCACATCATAATCACGAGAACTATATGGGTGGCGATATCGCTATACATAAAGTCAAATTTATGACACAATTCCTCACCTTTACCCTCCCTGATAGTTACAATTAATTTCGTGATATATTGAATGTTTTTTTTTCTTTTGGCTGGACATTTAAATGCCAGTCTCTATAATACATGCGGTACGAAATGTCTATGGATTAAAGAAAATCAAGAATAATCGCCATCATTGGCCATTCTTTCTCACCACGCTAATTCCTCTACTGAGTATAAGGCATCCCTTACTATAGCACGCCACATACATTGAGACGGATAATCGCAATTACAAGTACTGTATAGTTATACACTTATTTGACAGTTCTTTCGCAGTAGTATGTAAGTAGTTAAAATGACATCGCATTTTCTTCTTAAATAATTACAAATGTATGTTTCTGTTTCAGCCAACATAACGTTAATGTACACGGTAACAGATGTGCTGGGATTAAAGGCTTATCCGGTAAATATTTAACTAAACTTTTAAAGCTAACGTTATCACGCATCAATAAATCATGTAACGTTTACCCAAAAACGTTAAAGTTTACTTATTATTGCAACGGTTCAAAAATACTTTCGGCATGCAACCAAAATAAGTCTTATGCTGATATTTATACATGGCCAAAATTGTGACACTATCGATTTTTTTGTGCAACTTCTGTCTTTAATTGTGTACCATTTGAACGAATTAAGTTTCATTTCAATAACGGAGCCTTACCCTTCAAAGTGAAATCTCAAAAGATCCTTCTGTGTTTTAGGGTGAATATGAAGTAGACATGCGGTTGAAGAATATAGACGGATATGGTGTATGCTGTACAGCGCAACTTACCGTTCTTGGATAAGTTGGAGGACGGTTTCTGGGACAAGTTGGCGGACGGGTTCTGTGATAAGTTGGAGGACGGGTTCTGTGATAAGTTGGAGGACGGGTTCTGTGATTAGTTGAAGGACATGATCGTCATTCTACGTGCTAAAAGAACTGTGATTGGCAGTGACCTGTCGCTTTCTCAATCGAATGTAAATTCATGGGATTTTCTTCATCAAAAGGCGGTTTAACGTTCCATGTTTCACAGGATTGTTACTGCTCACTGATATTTCAATAATCAGTAGCTGATTTTCGCCAGTTAGCAAAATGCACGGAACGTGTTCACTTCAACAATTTTATCAACGAACAGTTTTAGTTTCAATTAAATCTAGATAGGTGCTATTTTCATTACAGGGGTGATTTTTTTTGTAATAGAACGTCTTTTCGAAAACTTCACTCTTTGCATTCTCTTCCATTTTGGTAAGTGAACTGAGTTAATCGAGCTTAAACATATGAAAACTTCCGACTATTACAGAATGGATCTCGCAATTTTCAACAGAGGTCATGGAATTTATGTACAACCAAATTGAGTGATCCTCGAACTATTCAACTGATTGACGTCACTTTTCCGTGTTGACTGACAACTATGCAAAGAAAAACTGAAGTGTTTGAATGGTCAACTTATCCAAAATACTATCTTCCTAGTTGAACATCAAATTTCACTAAGTTTGGAAGGATAGAACTAGATGTTTATTGAAAAGTATCATCACTTACCCCTATGTTAATTATGAATGATTTAAGCATTTTGATATTAAACAAGAGATCCCACAGGGATTTTGCGCCCACCATCGTACCATCTTCAGTAGTTCTGTCTTTTCTCTTATCTGTTTGACCGAGACATACATACAGAAAATGCACCTTGAGAAAACATTTGATCTTTACTTCATTCTGATGTATATAAAAGACAACCTTGAAAGAGAGTTTGTCGTTTCACATATTTAATAATAAATTACTTAATGTGATAGAAATAGAACCGATCGTTGCAATATGAGAAAGATCTGTTAAGGTGTTCCTGTAGCCATCTAATTTTAATATCTTTCAAAATAAAACAGGCACAACTAAGTACAAAGGGGAACCTACATATCAAGATATGAAAATCCCTCAAGTACTTTTTAAGAATTAGCAATAACAATCTTTAACTGTCAAAATTCAAGATGGCCACATGTCGACCATTTTGTTTGTCAATCGCGATCGGCCTCAAAAGTAAATATGCACAGATCAAAGGACACATGTATATAAAATATGAGAAAGATTCCTGCATTTCTTTCTGAAAGATAGTGATAAAAAACATTCACTATCAAAATCCAAGATGGCCATTTTGTTTATCCAATCCGACTCTAAAAGATCATTCAGTCAAAATCTAACTTGGCCGCCTGTCGACTCGTCTCAAAAGATAACAAGGGGAACCTACCTGTGACATTAAGAGTTATATCCCTACAGTACTTCCCAAGAAATACTGATAACAATCATTCAGTCAAAATCTAAGTTGGCCGCCTGTCGACCTGTCTCAAAAGATAACAAGGGGAACCTACCTGTGAAATTAGAGTTGTATCCCTACAGTACTTCCCCGAGATATACCGATAGCAATCATTCAGTCAAAATCTAAGTTAGCCGCCTGTCGACCATTTTGTTTATCCGACCTGTTTTAAAAGTTAACATACACAACAAGGGACCAAGTCACACCTACATATCAAATTTGAGAAAGATCTCTCAATTTCTTTCCGAGAAATAGCGATAGCAAGAACTGTTTAAGGATGAACAGACAGACAACGGACCATGGGTACTGGGTGATTTGAAAAGCCAACTATCTGATGATTGTGGGCTAAAAATTTGGATTTTTTTGCAATAAAATGACTCGTTATTTCCTAGTGGTTGTCCAGAATCTACAATTCAACTTTTCAACATCTTTCACCTTAATTGAAGCATTATTTGTTTGGGTTAAGAATACAATACATGTACATGTGTTTATATGGTTATCAACAAAGAACAAAAACTTCAGGTACTTGCATTGCATCATTTTATTACCATTGATCTCTGATGTCCCGTTTGTGGTTAGAATCTAATATTGCATAATACTAGCCATTGATAGCAGCAAAAATGTCTGCTGACCTAAACTGGCACCAATCTCAGACAGCAGCACTATAGCACTTTTTGGGTGATTTGCATGTTAATTATTTGTAAAATGTACATTGCCTGTGATTGTAAAGACTACCCTACTTCATTCTGACAAAAATAAAGTATGATGGCACATGAAGTCAAACAATTTCTTTGATGCAAATTGTAAAGACAAAAAAGGATACTTTTATTATTTGTCATGGTTAACACTTCTCTAAGAACCACACTTTTGTTGAGATCATGCAGCAGTTTAATCTGATACTGAAATTATGAAACTGAAAAAGATTTTTTATTTTGGTTGAAGTTGCAGCCTTATTTAAGAATAACTGGAATTGTTTTCTGGATTTGAAAGAAAAACACTGTTAACCTAGGAGAGTAACTAATAATAGTCTATAAAGATCATACATATGTACTCACCTATGCCATGGAGATTGCTAAAACAACGTTCCACATTTGTATAACAACCACAAGACATCAATGGCTAGAAAAGTGGGGACTAACAAGGTTACATTACAAATTATTTGGCAGGAACACAAAAGTCTGTACCTGACCGAGATGTCATTTTCAAGCACATGCGACTTTGATAAGGTTTCAATTTAAAGATTTGATTTTACACAATATAAACACAACAGAAAATACAGTTTATTTAGTATGTGTGGAACCCGGCAGTGCTAGGACAGTTGGATTACTCAGAATAAAAAATCTACTTTATGAGAATAAAAATATGAAGAATATCATAATTGAACCCCAAATAATATTTTTGAAATTTCAAAAATCCAAAGATCTAGTTAAAATAAAATACAATACACTATCCTTATCTTTCTATTAAGCAAAAATATAGTTTCCACAGCAACATATTCTGACAATAAATCTTTGGAGTATCTTGTTCATATTTCATTTTAATTGAAAACATATCAGATTGCTTTTAGCATTTTTGTTAACAAATTAAAGCGCAGCTCACTAAAACAGTTTTCAAATAATAAGACTGTTGTACAATATTTTCTTTAAACCCCTAGTGTACAGAAGAATCAAGTGTGCAAACAAACTACCTGTATTATCACTACAAAGTCAAGTTCAACTTGATCTGTTGAGTGCAAGTCAATGTCGACTTTATACTTGTACATCAATCAAAATCTATACAATAGATGCAATATTGCATCTCGATACAATTCTTTTCTCACCTCCTTCTACAGAATATTGGACATTTTGCCAACTTCACAACCTTTGAAGCTGGAGAAATCCAATGTTTGTGCCCTCATTCTTGGGTGGAGTTTTTACAAGGTCAAAGTTTAATCATATCACATTGAAGTACAAATCAAATATGATGAACACAATTGAAGTACATTGTTAGACAAGACCCTGATCACAGACTTCTGTCCTGTGTCTGTCGGAATTGATCACAAAGTACCTCCCTCTGCATTGTTCACAGAACCTAATCCAAGTGGTTCACAAAGCACAAACTCATGTTTCACTGTGAACAGACTCACATTGCAATGTCCACCTTATAACACGCATCACTTTGGCAACTTCGCCACACTTACTAAAAACTTATTCAGGTGGCAAAATCCATAAATTAAATACAAAATGGGCAAACAAAAAAATAATGGGACAAATCTAAAGGGGCCTTCCTCGCTTGTATTGTACCTTTACTCAACTGTGTTTCAGACTAGTAAATCATAAATATTTGTTCAAATCCAATTTTCCCTCTCCATTTGTACTGTTGACCAACAAAGCTGCCATTACTTCAACAAGCACTGTATGTTACCAAGTGTACGGCTGTAGATAGGCGGCATGATATGTGGCGTCATCTCGTCCAACATTTCTCACTCGCATGGCAGGATGGCGTGTATGGTGTTCTTTATACTGAGTATGACAATCTATGATTGAGCTGGCACTTTCTGGAGAAATAAATAAAAACATTCAGATACAGATATGTTAATTCTGTAAAAATAGTAGACATTAAACCTACATATTGAAGTGAAGATGACGCCATTTTCAATTTAGTCTGCTCAGACGGTTTTGTCATGAAATATTTTAGGTTCTTTTTATCTTCTATTTGCAATTATTATATTAAAAATTAATTGAATTTATTTACGTTTGAATATTCTTTAATTTTTGAAATGCTAGTCCAGATTTAATTTGTCAGGTTTTTAGTCACGCCAAGGCAACTTCCTGCTTGTTAAACAGCTACTTTGTCAGGCATAAAGGATGTTTATCTGTAGTTAACTAGTACAAATCATCATTCAATCAGTAAGCAAATCATTTGTCTATTCCTATCAGCTATTTTCAACGGCCTTTAAAAGTCTGAAATATTATCTGAATTGATGGATAGACCACTAGTATTCTACCGGCATTTTTTCCCTCAAAACGAAGCTAAAATTTGTTTTTCGTAAATCTGTGTTTGTTTCATAACTGTTTGAATGTTTTTACTAAAAAAAACAGCCATAAGGTTTATTATTGATTTGGGGAACGGAGAAACACATGCAAAAAACATGTTTTATAAACTATTCTAACGCACTTGCCCAGGGCAAGTGAGCCAAGTTTTTGCACTTGCCCGAGCACTAAAACTGGTTGTATACCCCTGCTTATTAAATGTCTAATCATTCCCCTTCAATCCTTTCTTGGCAGAAATGATCCATACTCAAATCTCTATTTCCTTTTGGTCAGTCTGGGTCAGTAGTCTCTAAATAGAAAGTTGACTGCAGATAGCCAGATAGCAGGCCATGGCGTAAGCTCTATTCGTCCTTTGGGTCAAATTAGCTTAAAAAAACATATAATCCCAATGCTTGAAAAATGTGTTACATTTACCTGTTTTGCTGATCCATCTCTAGGTCTGTTGATACCTGCTGCCTCATAGTCATAGTTATAATCCACCCAGCCTTGGTTCCTATTTCTTCCTCCTCCCCTTTGTGGGCCATTATTCCAGCGTCCTCCCCCTTTCAACATAGTATGTAGATAACAATTTTTAAGCAGAAAACAAGAGTGTACAACATCCTACAAATACTATGAAAAAGAAACAACTAACAAGGACTCCAACTCTCGTTTGGGTCAAAAACCACGATTGTTGAATAAAATCGCTTGCAAGACCATCATATGAAATAATTTGCGCTACAATAACTGTAATGTTAAAAAGAGCCTCGAGACAGATCTTTCATCTTTAAACATTGCCCATGTAATGTCAGTGTCTTGTTAGGACCTTAGTAAAGAAAGCTCTCAGTTTTGGCCCATGTCAATGATGGTACGACAGTATATCACTAGAGCTTAAGACCACATATATGTTGCCATGGATATATGCCAAGACAATGTAATCAGTGCTAGAAAAGAACTGAAACACTGGTAGGTCAACAAGGGCCACACCATGTGCCTGACCCTACTATCCGTGATCTACATTTAGTAACAGTGACTTTTGCCTTAGAAACATTTAACCCCCATCTAAATAAGACAGTTTATCACAATATGAAATTCTTTTGGATTGTAAGTTAAGGAGCACACCACACCACTCATGGCCTAATTCTAGTACCAGTGCACATCCACCTGCCACAGTACATCACAACGTAACATTTCAGTAAACCATTTGTATTCAAGATAAGGACTGTAAACGTTACGGTCTATTTTCAGTAACAGTGACTTTAACCTTCGTAAGTTTTTAAATCCCTATTGCACATCTACATATCACAGTGTATCACCTTTTCGAATCAGAAAAATCCCTGGAAACCAAAGTGTGGACTGTCAGACAAACAGAGTTATTACTATAGCGCACCCCAAACCTTGATGTGGGGCCCTTATTATTGATGACTCCTTACTTATGCAGACAAAGAAGTTGGAAATAATTCAGAAAAAAATGTGTTGTCCAGGTTGATAATTCTGTCTGCAGGGTCGACAGAATCTAGTAGTGAAACACGGACAATGAAAAGTACAGGTGTTGATAAAGTCTATGACATACCTCTTGGACCTCCCCTTGGTGGGCCTCTATAGAAACCACGACCTCCACGATATCCACGATTACCATACCCTCGACCACCCCGGAAATTTCTCCGAGGATAATCCGACACACCAAATGTTTCTACGTTAAGTTTTCGCTCTTCTCTCCAACTAGTTCTTGTTGACCTGTAAAGAATGATTGATTCAAATATTGAATATTGGACAACTAAAATTGAGCAAGAGCTAATATTGTGCTAATGGATAACCTCCCCCCTGATTTACATTAAAAACGAAATGTGCTGGGACTCGTATAGATATACTTCCCCAACCCCCCACATCAGAAAACATTGAAAGTGATCAAAGGTGATCTTTCACCCTTTAACCTTAACTGATGACCAACTTGTTACCTTTATCTTTGACCTTTAAACTTAGAAAGCAATCCTAAGCATGCTTTATCTGCCTATGTTTGCTTTAGTGGAAATCAATTTTCTATTGACAATGACATTAGCATTTGAAATCAGAGTGAGCAACTTGGTTTTATATTGAAGGCAAACAGGAATTTAATTGCACAAACCCAATTTCAATTGATTGAACAGGTGACCTTGACCTTTGGACCAAAAAGGCATTCTCAAGCAAGTCCTTTCAGTGTATGAAGTTTGGGTAGTTTTGGTCCATAGGAACTAATGTTTATGTATGGAAATGAAGAGTACCAATAAACGATCTGTCCTCGTATTTTGATTCTGGGGATAATAACCAGTAGTTGTAAGCAGAACAGCAATAAAAATCAGTTATACAATGTATCAAATTGACAGTTAAGAGGCACACATTTACTACCACCAGCAAGGAAATCAACCCTAAATCTCTTATATTGGGATACAAGATTTTTTTTTTTATATCATTATTCATTACGAGATATTGATGCATATAAAGGTTTTCATGTGAAGAAACGGTATCATAAAACCCAGGTTCACTCATTTTCTTGAGAAGGAAAAGCTACTAAGTACCCTTTTGCTCGTTCTGTTGCTTCACAGCTAATGTTATCAAAGAAGGATTTAGCTTTGTCGTAAAACAAGTCATCTTCTTCCTCCTCAGGAGGGTTGTTGGTACTGGAGTTGTCACCTCCGTTCTCTATACTTCCTTCTTTTTCACCATTTGTTGTCGGAACTTTATCAGCTTATGAAAAGAACGATGCATATTCTTTATTTTAAAGATATCACATACTTAATCACTCAGAAAAACTATAGGAATATGTGATATATAAATATACAAATTGAAAATTATCTTACAAAGTGTTCAATAATAAAACCTACAATGATATCATATATCGATAGATAAGTTTAAAAAATATCATTTGAGTACTAAGTACTTGCTCCACTTCTGAGTAGTAGAGTCACAAGAATATTACAATTTATAGCATGTTTTCCGAAATCAGTTTTTGAATCATTCTGTTAGGCTTTCAACTGTGGTGCATAATAATGTCCGACTTACAAATTGTAAGTTTTTGTTTTAGTTCACGTTCAATTTCTTCCTTGTCAAATTGAGCATTTGAACTTTCAAAGTCAAATTCTCCTTCAAACTTGAGCGGAGATTCTGTTGGGCGTCCTGACTGCGGCCTGCCTCCTCCCCGCGGTGGTCTACTGCCTCCTCCTCCTCTGGGTCCTCTAGGGCCAACTCCTCTTGCCTCGCGCCCACCTCGGTCACTGAAGCCTCCTGCAATGAAATTGGTCAAAATTATATAGGGTAAAAAGAGTACTTTAAGGGCAGAACAATATCAAGAGTGGGTTTTTTTCAACAGAGGTTTATGGAGAAATGACCCTGGGATGAAATTGGAAAAATATTTGGACTGTACAAATTTTTATTCAAGCCTATCTTTATGGCAACATGATCATTCAGTCCTTCCTACATAAGCTTTCAGAACTCAGCCAGTTGTAGGGAATTTATTTACATGAAGGTGTTTTCGTTTTTAGATTTCCAAATTTCTGGAATTTTAAAGGGTCAAATTGGGAAAATCATGCCTTTATCATAGTTGGGATAGGTCCTTCAAAAGGAACTAAAACGTATCCTGATAAACCTCTGTTCCCAGACATCTTTATTTACTTAATATCACTAAAATATGAATAATATTCATCTTTTCAGTTTTGGAAAGGCTTAAACATAGGTTTTAGATGCTGGAATTGATTTTATTAAACAGAAATATGGAGCATTTGTCTTGGTTCATGGTCCTTTCTTTGTAATAGCTAACATGTCCATAGGTCTACATACTCTAGTTGGAAAAGTAATATGTATTTTTATTGACTTTTCATGTTCCTTTGAAGATATTTCATTCACTGAAAGAAAACCTACATTTACAGTTGAAAGACTTCCTCCAACCTCCCCTTGCTGATATTACAATTCATCATACACAATATTAATGAAAATTCCTTGATACTTAATTACAGGCACATTTTGCAATTTCATATTCATTAGGACTTTCTGTTTAGGAGTACTGTGTAAGAAGAACATTATTCATGATCCAAAATATACTGTGTTTACACATATTAGTATATTGTGAAGCTGGGGCATCAACTTATAACAACCTCTTTCAGCTACTCCTGCTCCTCCTCCTCCTGCCCCAGGAACACCTCTCCCACGACTCTGCCCCCTTCCTCGGGAATAGGATGCTGATGGAGGCCTTTGATTTGGTGCACCTCTTCGTTGCTCTCGCCGATCCGGAAAACCCTGATTGTAATTTTGCTGTTGTTGATGGTAGTTCTGTGATTGCTGCTGTTGTCTTTCAGACTTATCTGGACTAGAACTTGGATGCTGGGTACTTTGGTCGAGGGTTGGAGACTTCCTGTTTTGCAGTGGAGGGGTTGGACCCCGAGAACCTGTAAACAAACACAAAATCAACATTTGTACTTAAACAGTCCCCATTATTTTTCAAATGTAGCAATTCACTCTTCCTTTAATAACAGGAGTTTCAATCAAATTTAAAGTTGAAGGAAAGTTTACAACAAAAAGTTAATTTCAGAAGCAGAGAACAGGAAAAAGCAATAATTATATCAAACTGCAGGGCTCCAAGTAGCAACTGTTTCAGTCGCCATGGCGAAAACTTTACAAAATAATATTTCAAGGATTTAAATTGATGCTCAGTCCTTTCATCTCAAACCAATTCCAACTTTTAATCTATTTATCAAAGTAAAGATATATATACAATATATTCAAGACATCCATATTAGTAGCTTTTCTATATATATACTTGTATACAAAAGCAGAAATTAAATTAAATATAATGTATATGGGAAACATTTTTATACATGGTGCAAACAAATATTTAATGTTATTTTCATGAGAATTGTGTTTCAAGACAGGAATTAATTTAGATTCAATTTCTTGATGCTACTAAACATAAGAGCCACTGTAAAATTATTTTTGTAACTGGGCTCTGGTCTTTTCAGCCTTGCCAGGGACTGGTGAACTATTTTCAAATTTTACAGAAAAATTAAAAGCAAAGTCCTACATTATTTTACTACTCTTGCTAAAACAATAGACATCATTTCATTTGTTTATAATGAATTAAGTTGGATTCAATTTACTATTGTTTTATTTTAGAGCTTTGTAAAACACTTATTAATTTATAAGCAAGGAAGTACTTATAAAATAAATTTCAAGAGCTTGCTGGTGCAAGCTTTTAATAGACCCAAAATAAATTAGATGGTATATTGTCCAAGACAAAATAGCAAAGTTTGTATCTGGATGCATTGCCATGTAAAAAAAAGTTACCAAGCTAAAGTAACAGGCTTTCATGCACAAATGGGTTCGCACAACATATCCTATATATGTAAAGTGTAAACTAAACAAGGAAACTCTAATTCACAACAGTTTGCAGCAGTCTTTTGGAACCATCATTCTCCCCCCTTCCTCCCAAAATATGGCAAGGTGGAACTGTAAGATGGTTACAAATGACTTATATACACAACATTGAATTGTTAACACAGATAACAAGACTATACATCAACGACTTCACTAGTGCTGGTAGTAATTGGAACTAGAATTCATAGATACTGGTCAAGCTGATCCTGTGATAAGATGGGCTCGGCAATTTTAATCATGCACATTTTAATGCACAAATACTTGTATTGCATATGAAACCGAAAGCAGCAAAGGAGGTATACAAGGAACAGCGTTGATATTGGACTACCCACCAGGTCTTCTGATAGCGCCCATTGCAGCAGGCTGGGAGCCAACCTGAATACCCTGGTCCATGGTAGGGGATACTCGATTAAGAGTGGGTGAAGGCCCACGAGAACCTAATAGCAAGAATATTGAAGAAAATCATATGAGACATCTGTAAATACTTGCAGATAATGAATCATATGTAGTATTAGTATTACCACCCCACTTCAAATTATCAAAATATCCCATTTTGAAACATGTTCTTTCCAGATCCTCTATTAATTTGACAGAAGTACCCTGGGTTTATCAGGGGGTTTGGGGAAGTAGACCCCCCCCACCCCCCCCGGAGATAAATTGGAAAATGTTATAGACATAATTACCATTTCGGGAACCACCTTGACGATTATAATAACTCTTTTTTAAGCTTTTCTTAATAACCACATGAACATTATGTCCAATTGTGAGGAATATAATTATTTTTTTGCAATTTCTTCTCTTTTGTTTTCTCTTACTAGATTTCCCAGCAATTGGGAAATTTTAAGGACATAATTGGGAAAAATCACTTAATTTATTGGGAATGGGTTCTTTAAATAGATCTAAAAAGTACCCTGATAAACCCCCAAGTACTTCAGCATTCGTGAAGTATTCAACCCAACCAACATCTTCAGAAATGTACATGTTAATGAATAAGATATATGAAGAGTTTTGAAGCTTTGTTTCACAAAAGTGGGGCCATGACAATCATTTTGTTATGACATATCTCTAGGAATAGAAAGATTGGTTGACACTGGTCAATAATATTAACACAACATGCAGTTTTCTATAAATCAAAGTACCAAGTGACAAGTCTAAAGGTGATTACAGATCAAGCAATTGACAAATAAACAAAACTCAGTCTTTTAAAGCACAGATGATAACTATACTCATTTGCATTTCAATTTGACTTAGTAATTACAAATTTTAAAAAGTTAGTACAAAAGACTTGAAATTATTTCCAGGCAAGACTGCTAGGGTAAATTGAAGTATGTTTAGAAGATTGCTTTCACTTTATCCTTTTTCACTATAAACCATCAGTTTCTTCTGGGAGTAGGAAAATAACAGGTGCATATTTCAGTATATTAACTACAAACCAAATTGACATAGTATGACAAAAGCTCCGTGTTAAAGAGGTCATTGTCTTAAATCTAAGAAACTTTCAATAAACAAAATTAATAAAAGTATAGTTTACATCTGTATTTTACAAGGCTGTCGGAAAGAAAACTACCCAACATAAATATTTTTTTCAACTTTTATCAGACAACAAATCCAATTCTTCTGATTTACCTTTTTTTCATAAAACATTTAAAAGGTCGAAAAAAATATTTATGATTGTCTGGTAACAGTTTTGCCACTGTGATGATAACAAAATTATTATGTAACATTGAACAAAAATGTGAAAATATATCACATTTCTGTTTACATTTGAAAATAATTTATACATATACAAAAGCACAAGTGAGATTTTTTTCTTAAATGGTGAAACAAGAAATTGTTGTAAATAATGTTTTCAAGATACAGTAAAGTATGACCTCACAAGAACCCCACAGTACAAAATTAAACAAACCATGCCCATGGTGTGGCTGTGTGGGAAAAGGCTGGGGAGCATTTCCTGGTGCCTGTCCATACTGACTGTAAAGCGGCGGGCCTCCAAATGGCTGGTAAGATGGTCCTCCAAAACCTGGGGCAACTGCTGGTTGCTGTTGAAAGGAGGGGGGAGGGGCCACAGGCTGAGAGGACTAAACAAAAGAGCACATAATGAACATAAGATATAATATGAAATCACTACCACATTTAATTGGGATCAATATGAATCACTTGTGAGAGTTACTTACGCATTTTCATTTGCCCGCTAGCAGACAAAAATTGATTGAACGAAACAATGCCTTGCAAATTAGATGTCCTAATTTAGCACAATATCTTGATAACAAATTGCCCAACCAGCAGCCTATGAGAAACACATACACACAAAAACGTTGATAACAAGTCAATACTCTTTAAATGTTTGTAATTGGCATATTTGATACATAGTCATCACCCTGAACACCGTTATGTTCCCTTCGAATCCTTGTGCCTGCAGTACATTTTCCACCCACGCACATCTGCTGACCACCTCTGGCTCTTACATTTTGTAATTTATGTTACAGTAGATGTTGTACCTTTACAATGGCTGGATCTTGTGGTGGTTGTTGGTGCTGCTGCTGCTGTGCTGCTTTTGGTGGTTCACATACGTGCAAATCCTTGATGTCACTACCTCTAAATATGATGTACTCAAAAATCTCATCTCTTGGAGCCACTGGCCTGTCAGTTGGTCTATCTTCTGTACCAAATGACCTCACTGCAAGATAAATAGGTTATAAACATATTGATCTTGATCTATTTATTCAAGGTATATAATTACAGTATGTATCAAACCGGAATTCTTACCAAGAACCTCTAAACTGGAGATGTAATTATCCACAGAGCTATGTAGAGGTGATGACATTGGTACTAAGTCAACCCTGTCCTGGTCTGCTTCATTATTTCCCCAAAGACACAAAATTGTGTACACCCAAAAGCCAGATCATCAGACTCTTGAATTTGGAAGTTTTTACAATCAAGAAAAGCCTCTGCACAACTGGATGTCAAAAATAACCCTCATCATATCTACAGGTTGACTGCTCCCGCAACTTCACCAAGACTGACCTGCATGTGCAAGATTCCTTTGAGCTTAAGCTTAAATTTTCCTACATAAAAAACAATCAAAATATTTTCATTATTTTATTTACATTTGATATTGGAAATTTCCATACATACTTCAATGTTTTTTAGTTGTCCTACACAAAAACAAATATCTAATTACATTTTTAATAACAAAGTTAAGTACAAATCAAGTGCACTCAAATAAATCTCATAAATGCGGGACAACCTGACAAAGGAGCTTCAGTAAGCATAATGATAACCTTTAGAGATGTGTCAAATGCAAGATTGCCTCTGGCTCTGCAGTTGCAAGTTACACTGGCAACTCGGTTTCAAAACATGTAGTCAGATATTTACAACTGGCAAAAGTGTTTCCCCAGTAATGTCAAGCTTTCAAAGGGCCTACTGATGCTACTTCCACTATGTCCTACTTAATTTTTTGCCAACATGAATTGGAATGAGAAACAATGTCAACAATGGCATATAACAGAGCAAATGAAACATATGCAAGGGGGAGAAAATTGAACATTGTACCAATGCACCATATTCTAGTGTTTTCCTTGATTTATGAAGTTCTGCTTTTGGTCTTGAAATGAATTCTTACACTATATGAAACCATCAATATGAATAATTGAGTCTGCAGGGTAGGTAACAAATACCATTTTGACCCTCTACTTTCACATTGAAATATGACACAGCTGCGTATGTATATACCAACATGGGGAATTGTTCGTCATGTTGCAATTACTTGGGGTAACTTTTGAAGCCGACATAAAGTAATTACAAAGAAATTCGTTGTTGTTACATTGTAAACATACCTTTGGCCAATGCAACAGTCGATTCATTGGGATCGATTGTATACAAAATGCCTTCATATCGAATGCCAGCCTTCGATATGAGACTTATTTTACTCCCTAAGTATGGTATTCCCCCACTCATGGCTGCGTATGCCACAGGGTATCAAAATGAGGAAGATGACGATGGATTGAGTAACTTGCCACCTCAAGTCTGGTACGGACTGATCAAGATGGCGAAATCATTTGTAGTCCGACAGAGGGCGCTAAAGTTCAAAATTCATACCCATAGACCTCCGTTCTGCGCATGCGGTCTTCAGTCTGAAATGTGTTGTGCGGGGAAATGGCGACCGCCAATTTTATCGACGACTTGATTACCTCTGAGATAGATGAAAGTGCCGTTAGTGCCTTAGTTGGTGCATTAGAAGGACAGTTGGCTTCCCCTACACACAAGGATAACTCACAGTCGATATCAGAATCTTCTATAAATAATAATCATATCACTACAGCAAGCACTCCGGTAGCTTGCACTGCTTCATCATTCAACATTGTACAGACCAATGTAACACAGGGACTAAAAGGTTTGTCTTTACCAAATAGTGTGACTGTGAACTCTGTCACGAGTCCGTTGGTGAAACTGACCCAATCAGATCCCCAGATCATTGGTATAAATTCCATAATAAACTCAAACAATGTTGCAGCATCCAATAACAATACTCAAAATAACAGGGAATCACCTGCATCTAACTCAAGCAGAGTTGTAAACAACCAACATGCTGTTAGAATAATACCTAACACTCAGCCTCATGTGAATTCAAGAAGTTCCCCATTACCACAAGCAATTGTCAATTCTAATAGTTTGGTGCATACAAACCATATTCCGAGTGCAAATTCACCACTTATAGATCTAAATAGGACTACTCATTCTCCTAATGTAAATACAAGAATTGTCATTTCAAAACCAGGTGAAACAGTAGTTGATCAGAAATCTGTGATAATACCACAAGTTACATCAAGTGCTGGAGGGATCACTATTCCACAACAATATTCTAGTCATCAGGATGTAGTATTAAAACCAGGACATATTATTTTGAAACATGACAATGTGAACTCTGGGAATGTAAATGCTGTAAAGCAAGAACGTGTAACAGCTCTCAAACAGGAAGGCTCTATGAACACTCAACAGCATAGCCAGTTTTTAATTAAAAATGAGCAACATACGACGAGAAGTCCAATTTCAAATGTGAAACATGAAGGCTGTCCGACAATTCAGACTATACAGACTGTTCATGGAACGCAGCACATTCAAACCGGATCTGTACCTTCAGCTGCTGGAAGTCAAATCACACAGGCAACTAATGTTCATATAGTTAATGCACCAATTAAAGGTGGTGTTGCAGGGAATCCAAGTGTTATTACAGTGAGGACTCCAGGACAAGCGCAGCCTGGTCAGGTTGTGATGCGTCAACAAACGCCACATTCAAGTGGTGTGCCTATGCATGTGGTTAGTGTTAGTGGTTCCAATGTGGTGCCAAGATTTACAAACAGTAAGGGAGCAGTGGCACGGGTGGCGACTGCTTCTCCTGCACGACAACAGCAAATCAACATAGCACCTCGGCCAGGAACCACAGCGGTAAGGTTACAATGTCATAACGGTTACAACAAAAACTAATATTTAGTGTTTTAGTTTACAATTTGGTATGGTCATAATGGCTATATAAAAAAAATATGTACATACCAGCTGTTAAAATGCGTCCTAGAGATAAATGCAATTAATTATCACGATTTTCGCAACCACGTTTTCTTTTAAATAGGCTGTAAACACCCTTGACTTCTCGCGGTGGCCTCGAAAAGCCAAGATACACCATCAGGTCCAGTACACTGTCGATTGAGCTATATCGCTATAAAGACCTATATACACCTATAAATTATAGCTGTTTTGTCAAGCTATATTTTCTCAGATTTCAATTTTCATTAAATTAAAGCAAAGTCGCAATAAGGTTTTTGGTAATGTTGACTACAAAAAGCATACAGTTAGATGTTTATTTTCATTTTTCATAAATTTATGTAAAATTTCCGATTTTTTTACATGATTATTTTTTAAAAAGAATACTTATATTTAATGTCTTTTGTTATCAACCTAATGACACAATCTTCTTTTAAAAGCGACTTTGTTTCATTTTCCTTAAAAAAGAAAATAACTTGAAAATAGCAAAAAAGGCCTATTTCAGATAAGTCAATATAGAGCTGTTATAGGTCTTTACAGCTATATAGCTCAATCGGCAGAGTGTACTGGACCTGACCATAGCCTATTTACAGAAATTAAAGATCTCTGAAAAAAGGATAATCTGTAATGAAAGTACAAAAATTGCTTTTACAATAAATTACAAAAAGTTGTACCAAACAGAGTATTAAAAATCACTACTGTATTATTTGTGTGAAGTCATTTTATTGATATATAGCTATATAGTCGCATTCCCGAGACGAATTTCGAGGCTCCAAATTACACATATGGTAACATTGTTGAAATATCTCATCAGTTTAGCAGAAAACAATGCAGAAGTATCTTCATATTTTTTAACAGCACTACTGTGCACTTATGTGTTCCATTTTATCCCTATCTACAGAGATGTTTTATCTATGTAAGCAGTGTGTTTTCAAGACCTCGAAAAGTCCTTTAAATATATCTAACATTAATATGCAGTGTTGTGATTATTTATAAATTTTAGCTTTAAACAATTTTGATATTTTTTTTTATGATAAAATTAGGGAACTATCACGTTGCCTCAAGGGATGTTACCACATGGTGGGATGTTGATGAAAAATGAGCAAGGCCAGTTTGTTATCGTCACTGCTAACCAAGGGGGAGTGCAGCAGGCAGTATCTACGACAATGGCTAGTTCTACAACAGGGCATCGCATTCAGTATGTCAGGGTAGGTATTATGTCCTACTGGCAGAGGAGTCATGAGTAGCCTGTTATAAGTAAAACTAACTTCAAAATACCCTCCTACAGATATTTTATTTGCAACTTTCATGAAATAAAAAAATTGTAATGAGATGTTATAAATCAGCACCTTTTCAGGTAAAAAGGGGAAAATACCCCTTTGCTTATTATCAGCAAACAAAAAGAAATGTTCAAAAGTAATTTAACTTAATTTAACTCTTCTGTCCAAAATTTCAATTTACTCATCTCTGATGTATTGTCAGTTTGAAATTTGGCTACGTTGTTGGTATAAGTCTGTGTTTTTACTGTAGCCCCCTACCACAGTCCAGGCACATGCACGGCCTCCCACCACTCAGATAGTCACCATCCAACACCCGTCTGGTACCCCCATCGCAGGCCAACACCAGACAGTTCTCCGTCAGACCGTCCCTTCCTCAGGAGCCCCTGCCCTCGTGTCTACAGCATCAAGCCAGGTTGTGCAGACAGTTCGGGCAACCAACCCCAGTATGGCACCACACACCTCAACAGCTCCTGGCACAAGTAAGTTCTGTATCCAGTGTGGTGTGAAATTCACAGCTCATTAACCACCTTGGATACAAATTAGTGTCCAGTCTGTTAACTAGGTTACAATAAACGATTGAAATAAGACTGAGGTTCAGTGGTGGTAAAGTTAATCATATATTGGCTGTAGAAAATATTTTACATCCGAGGAAAACAGTTTTAATCCTGTTTAATGGGTAAATCTTAAAGAATAATAGAATCCATCCCTGATGAGAGGTATGGATAAGGTTATTTAAACCCAAGGGATAAAATATTGAGCAGGAGACCCGAGGCTTTGCCAAGGGTATTTTGCTCAATATTTTATCCCGGGGGTTTGTATTACCTTATCCTTACCTCACATCAGGGATGGATTATATTTCCTACTTTTTACCTAAAACCTGTAAAAACAGCTGCTCTTCTAGTAGTTTGTCAACTGTTCGCACATTTCTCATTTGCATATGCAGCACGGATGGCAATTATTAATGACCCTGACTGACCCCAAAACGTCATAGAATGACGTCACGAACAATAGCGTGACCCCGAAAGGTTACTATAATTCCCCTGCCAGTCTGCGTGTGTAAGCAATCCAGACTCGTGGGTCGGATAGAATTTTCCAGCACCGCCGGAAATGCGGATATCTTGGTTCTAGTATGCAAGAAAATTGGTTACGCTATGTTTGACATATGACAGTTGTGACATATAAAAGTTCTGTTTTCCTTTTTTCTAGCCCAAAGTTCTGGTCAGGTCCAACAACAACCACTAGATAATGTAAAAAAGTGTAAAAACTTCCTCTCAACATTGCTGAAGCTTGCAGCTGGACAACCCAAAGAAACGGTCAAAAATGTCAGAGAGCTCATCCAGGGTCTCATTGTAAGTTTTTGTTTTTAGGATGCGTCTGTACTTAATCTGTTTATCAACATTACTAAGTTCATAATTGCTACCAATTATCTGCATCAAGGTGCAACACCCAAAGCAGGAATATCTTCACCTGCTAAAGGTGATGTACTGCAAATGTTTCAAGATACAGTTTAGACATGTACAGAAAGTTAGGCAAGGGAATGCAATCTAAAGAGATTCAATGAATTGATTTTGTGCAAACCTGGAAATTTCGTTCTTTTATACTTGCATTCAAAGTTATGTTGCTTGGTTTGCCTTCTTGTGATTGCGACTTCTTTTTGCTTCACTAGTCTTCAGGAAGATTTCAAACAACTCGATTAGCACATGCATATATGCCAACTTAATTTCTTATAAATAAATATAAAGAATTTTCGCTAGTTTTAATATTAACCTAGAGGTCAGCTTTTGGAATTGAATCCAGCTGAAGCTGGAATCAGTCAGGAGCTGTTATTTTGATAAACAAGCAGATTATCAGGATGACGTGTTTTTAAAAAACTATGCTTGAAATATAAATACCGATATAGGTATATTACTGTTTTCCATTGCTATGGCAATATGTTGTATGCTCACAAATTTTAACATTATGTAAATGAGAGAAAAGAATTGACATACCGGGTAATAATGATATTTTTGGTGGCCTTTAGGACTGTTGAACTTGGCAAAACAATTGCTTCGCCAAAATATAAAAATGCATTATAGATGAAAATTAAAAAAACCATGTTTGTCCTACAGTGCTTTAATATGAAAATGTCCTGAATGATTATATAGAATTAACTTTTTGTTTTTGCAGGATGGGAAAGTAGAGCCTGAAGCGTTCACAGAAAGATTACAGGCTGAACTGAAGTCATCACCACAGCCATACCTAGTCCCTTTCTTGAAGGTATAGATCTACCATCATCACCATACCAGGAGTCTCTTTATCTCAGTTCTGTTTTTCAGTTCTTGAGAATACACAAAAGATCCAAACAATTTTCCTAATTCCTAATTTAACTAGGTATGCCAGGTAATCCCAGAAAGCTACAAAAATCTTCATGTTTGGAAAAAACCCCACATATTTCTGACATGTAAAAATATTTCTACAATCTGAACAACTGATCGACTTGTCCAGCTGTATAGGTATTCCACATCTTTGTTGTCTGTAATAATGACAAAAAAATAAACAATTAAAAGACGGATAATTGGCTTTATATTGACCCAGAAATAGAAATTATGTGAATTTTATAACATTTTACTACATTTATATATATATATATACAGAATAAAAACATAAATCTTTCAGATCGTACGCTAGGCCTTTCGGCCTTCTAAGGCTTCTTCCGCCCTGAAGAAGCCCTAGAAGGCAGAAGGCCAAGCAGACGATCTGAAAGATTTATGTTTTTATTCTATATTTTCCTTCGCAAGGGCTTATTTATTTATTATCTACTATAAATATACATATATTTCTACAACAGGGACGAAAAAAATCTTATATCTATAATAATAGATACAATATGTTTGAATCTAATATACATCCACACACAATGAAGTATTTGGTTTCAACAAATGTTATTGTGTTAACAAAAGAATTAGACAGGAACGAAGTGATGGGGTTTCGTCAACAAGATGTAGACTTCATACTTAGGCATCTATTGATAGAACTGGTTCGGTGTAATTTTTGTGACTGTTATACAATTTCAGAAAAGCCTGCCTCTGTTGCGGAGGTCGCTGATACAGAACAAAATGTCTATAGAAGGAGTAAGGGCACCTCCTGTGTCTGTCCTGCAGCAAAATGTGATGCCCACAGCAGCAACGTCGGTGGGCCAAACACAAAACCAGATCCCTCATGTAAGTCTTCTAATTGTTCATGTCAAGAACTCAACAACAACATCCCTCATATCAGAAAAAGAAATCTATGTCCCTTTTTATTAGCTCACCTGGTCCGAAGGACCAAGGTGAGCTTATGCCATACCGTGGCATCCGTCATCCGTCCGTCCGTGCGTCAACAATTTCTTTAAACGACTTCTTCTTCTTAACCACTGGTTGGAATTAAACTAAATTTGACTGGAAGCATCCCTAGGTGGTGGGGATTCAAAATTGTACAAATGGTGGGGCTGACCCCCCAGGGGGCTGAGGGGCAGGGCCAAAAGGGGTCAATTTGCCCATATTGCTTTAAGCGACTTCTTCTCTGAAACTAAGAAGTGGATATCAACCATATTTGACTGGAAGCATCCCTAGGTGGTAGTGATTAAAAATTGTACAAATGGTGGGGCTGACTCCCCAGGGGGCTTAGGGGCAGGGGTCAAAAGGGGGAAATTTGGCTATATTGCTACAAATGACTTCTTCTGTAGAACTGTGCACTGGATATCAATCATATTTGATCAAAAGCATTCCTGGGAGGCAGGGATTTAAAATTGTACAAATGGTGTGGCTGACCCCCCAGGGGGCTGAGGGGCAGGGCCAAAAAGGGTATTTGGCTATACTGCTTTAAGTGACTTCTTCTCTGGAACTAAGTGATGGATATCAACCTTATTTGACTGGAAGCATCTCTAGGTGGTGGAGATTCAAAATTGTACAAACGGTTGGGCTGACCCCCCAGGGGGCTGAGGGGCGGGGCCAAAAGGGGGCAATTTGGTTATATTGCTTTAAATGACTTCTTCTGCAGAACTATGCCATGGATATTGATCATGTTTTGTTGGAAGTATTCATGGGAGGCAGGGATTCAAAATTGTACAAATGGTGGGGCTGACCCCCCAGGGGGCTGAGGGGCTGGGCCAAAAGGGGGCAATTTGGTTATATTGCTTTAAATGACTTCTTCTGCCGAACTATGCCATGGATATTGATCATGTTTTGTTGGAAGTATTCATGGGAGGCAGGGCTTCAAAATTGTACAAATGGTTGGCCTGGCCCCCCGGGCTAAGGGGTGGGGTCAATAAAATGCATTACTTGGAAATGGTTGAGATCCCAACCATATAACCATATATACAATTGCTGAGTATAAAGAGATGATTGCACATATGCTTCCAGGTTGGCCTTGGGGACTGCCCCACCCTTGGAGACTTAGCCCCTGGGTCATAACTTTGAAACGGTTGAGATCCCCACCCCAAAACTACATATACAAATGCTGGGCATAAAGACACGAATGCAATCATGAAATCAGAATAGACCCTGGGGTCTGCCCGAACCCCTTGGGAACTAGTTTCTTAGTCACAGCTTGGAAACAGTTGAGGGCCCCACCCTTTAACCGTATATATACAATTGCTAAGTATAAAGAGATGATTGCACATATGCTTCCAGGTTGGCCTTGGGGACTGCCCCACCCTTGGAGACTTAACCCCTGGGTCATAACATTGAAATGGTTAATATCCCCACCCCAAAACTATATATACAAATGCTTGGCAAAAAGAGACAAATGCAGTCACAATATTAGAAGCGATCCTGGGGTCTGGCCACAACTCAAGGGACCTAGTTTCTGAGTCGAAGCTTGGAAACAGTTGAGATCCCCACCCCATAACCATACATAAAATTGCTGGGTATGAAAAATGTAATATAGCTATGCTACAAGGATTGGCCTTGGGGTCTGGCCTATTCCCTTGATCTCATTTTGAGAATAGTTTGCCATGATTGCTTAGGTATCCAGGTGAGCGATACAGGCCCTCTGGGCCTCTTGTTCAAAATTTGCGTCCCTCTATGTAAGTAATGTAAGATTTTCAACAACAACAAGATTACAAATCCATGTCCCTCATTTGTGATTTTATAACAGCCATTTCTTGGAATTGAAGACCCTCATATCAGACAAAATGTGATAAATCATATTTGCATGCCCTTGCTGTTTTGTGTAGGACTTTAATGTTAACTATGTGAAGTGACTTCTTAACATATCTTGGTCATACTGTATGTAAAGGTTCAGTATGAGAAAACCACCAATATGCGTTCATATTGCAGACACCAAAATATGTTAATATTTAAGCATAAACTGCATTCTGTTCAGAGTTACACTACAATGATTCTGGATATGATTGCAGACAAATCAACTAATGCATGAAATGTGTCTTATCAACTCGTTGAATTGAAGTGTTTACATTAAAATGATCTTTTGACCAATTACGTAAATAGTGATGTATTTATGTATCATCACTATCATGTATGTAAGCAAGCTTTACCTACAGTATAAACCACCTAAGATTGCCTTCGAATAAAATATATTTTATGTTCCTGGAATAACCTGTCATTCCTTCATTGATTATATGTTGTTTGTAGCTCCTACACACAGCCAAAAGTCAGCAGGGGATGATACAGGTGCAGCATATACAGAAGGGTGTGGCTCACCAGAGGGGCAGCTTACCAAAGACAGTGGTGACAATGGCTGGGCGGAGCCAGGTGGCTCACCACGGGGTGCAGGGGCTCCCCACAGTCAGCACCATACAGGGACAAACAAAGACACATGGCAGCACAGCGGGTCACCGCGAAAAACCCAAATACGACTCCCTCAAGTTAGTATACATCATTTGTGAGAAATTAATACTGTTTTGAAATATAGATGGAAAATTCTAAATCCTGGTAATAAAGCTGACTATGCTGTCATTCAGCAGTATTTTTTCTAAAATCTATGAAAAAATGTGCTTTCTTTATCACTTAAATTTTTTATACAAGGAGAAAAATAACTCCATTGAAATTTTCTTAAAGGGGCATCACAGTGAAGTGTATATATTTTGTTTCAAATACTACATAAACATATCAAGTGAGTCTCCTTAAGGAAAATAACGATCAGATTTGGCTGATATATATCCATATAAATAATTAATTTTGAGATAATCATCAGGATTTCTACCTGTCTGACCAACGTTTTGTTCAGGGATTTCCCTCTACTAGCGCATGCGCATGGATCGCCCATTATTGTAAACAAAATGTCTAGCCGTGTGAGGAAACCGTTACACGCGTCGGTTACGAAGCGAAAAGTTGCCAAATGGTCAAAAGATAGCGCAAGGATTACGTTGCGGAATCATTATTGCAGGTGGGAAGTATTCAAAGGAGAAAATAACTGCCCTAGCAGTTAGTACGGTGCATGTATTCTGCCGGTTAAAGCTGAAATGGAAGCGACAGAAATGCTGTTTGTTATGAATAAATATCTAAAACTATTAACCTATTTTCACATGATGTTGACTTAGAATGTATGATCATGCAACAACTTTTTCTCTATAAATAATAAATTTTCGACTTCAGATAGAATCGGAATATGCATTGAAAATGGGAAAAGGGTCATTTGTTTACGTTAACGCTTGCTGCCATTAACTTCGGCTTCTGTTTCGGACAAAAATAACTGATTAAAGAAAAGTTATTGAAAACATATAATTATCAAGTATCTCAACACGTTCCATATCTGATACATATTCTACATGTACACGTAGTGGTTTTGCCAGAAATGTGTATTGTGAGTGATGGCTAATATGACTTACTAAGTGTTAGTGTATGAAGACAGTGAAAGTGAGAAAGAGAGTATATACATGAATATAATATAATGCATGGTATGGGAAAAAACAGTGGCAAGACATTGAGTTGTACAATGTAAAAAAAAATCACAAACGTTTCTTTTTTTTACTTGTCAATGCATATACACTTTTATGACAATTGAAAAGGGATATTCGTCTCGTGAATATTCCTTTTTATAGAAAGGTTTGTCCCTTGGTTGAGGGAAGGTGTTTAGCCCCGTTCCATTTGTACCGGTCATATTCTGGTAATAGATATTTCCTGATGTCTATAAATAATGCCGAGTTGCCAACAAATGTTTCTTCATTTAAATTCTAAATATTGGCATGTGTGCAATTAACTTCTGATGATGAATAATTACTGATTCAATAAGTTTCAACACGGACTTAGAAATCTGATACTTGGTTTCATAGTGCAGTTAGAAGTTGCAGTTAGTTGACTGATGGCCCCTCTCAGGGGGCCCCTTTGGATCTCGTTCAGACCACCATGTTTACTGCCTCGTTTCAAAACCGCCAGGCGCTATTATTAATGTGCTTTCCCGAACAATTAAAGTGTTCAAACTGGACATTTGGAATGGACTCTGACTATTGGGATAACAAGGTAACGTAAGTGGAAGTCCATACAACACATACATTCATTAAAAAAATATGTCTATTCACGAAGATTAAGTTAAAACAAATTTATGTTTGTACAGAGATGATGATGACATCAATGATGTGGCAACTATGGGTGGTGTGAATCTGTCCGAAGAATCCAAAAATATCCTTGCCACCAACGCAGATTTCATAGGGACACAGATACGCTCCTGTAAAGATGAAGCCTTTCTCCACCATGCAACCTTACAAAGTCGGATAAGTGCTATAGGTAAATCAGCAGGATTGGTTTGATATACTCTTAAATGCCAGTCAACACTATAAATAATAATAAAATATTTCATTTAAGTGTCGCACATATTTTGCATAACACATCACTGACATAATAAAAGTACACATATGCAAAATATGCCCAGTCAGCCATACTGACTTCTGAGACACTATAAGTTTAAAATTCACACTTTTCTTGTCAGCACGGTTAAATTCATATCATATGAACCAGCTTTTAACTTTTGTAATTGTAAATGTTAGTGTCAATATCCATGGGCCTCTTGTTATTTTTGAGTATTTCAAAAGTTCTATAAATAATTCAAAGATTTATTTCCTTTCTAAAAATATTGAACACAAATTGTTTTATGTATATCAAGGGATATAAAACGTGCGCCTCTCCTTTCCAGCAAAGAAACATGGTGTAGATGAAGTGTCGTCAGATGTGATCAATCTTGTATCTCATGCCGCTCAGGAACGGATGCGAGATGTTTTAGAAAAATTAGCAACAATAGCGGAACATAGAATAGAAATATATAAGGTAAGTATTTGATGTGTAGTAGAAATGGTTAGTAGTCGTTGGTAGTGGACCTGGGGAAAACCGGTTGACAAAGTTTACCTGTTCCATGGGAATAACAGGGGCATGTTCCTTCATACTACAGATTATTAAGTGTTCACACCTTGTATATCATTTTATTTGTATGAGAGGTACATAAACACCAGGTAATAAAAGCTACTGAGCCTGTGAGCATCTTGTAGAATTTGGATTCAATTTCATGTTCTTTTGAAAATTGTTGACATTAATAAATGTTTTTAATTCCTTTTAGATGAATGATAGGTTTGAATTGACCAAGGATGGGAAGTCTCAATTAAAATTTATAGAAGAGCTGGACAAGTTAGAAAAGAAAAGGCACGAGGAACAAGAATGGGAAAAAATAATGAAGGCAGCCAAGGTAAAGATTCATGGTTTGAGTTGTAAATGGTTTTATAAAAAAATAACAATGTAATTGAAAAAACATTTCTCTTCCGTTAAAATTATTTTTTTATCAGAGGTATAACAAAACTATGAATTAATTTCAACAATATTTAATTTGACAGAGCCGATCAAAACATGAAGACCCTGAACAGCAGAAAATTAAACAAAAGGCCAAAGAGGTGGGTAAAATTTGTTCTTATATTTCAGTAGTAACACAGGGGACTATAGGTTAATTAGTCCCTAAACAGTACTAACACAGGGGACTATAGGTTAATTAGTCCCTAAACAGTACTAACACAGGGGACTATAGGTTAATTAGTCCCTAAACAGTACTAACACAGGGGACTATAGGTTAATTAGTCCCTAAACAGTACTAACACAGGGGACTATAGGTTAATTAGTCCCTAAACAGTACTAACACAGGGGACTATAGGTTAATTAGTCCCTAAACAGTACTAACACAGGGGACTATAGGTTAATTAGTCCCTAAACAGTACTAACACAGGGGACTATAGGTTAATTAGTCCCTAAACAGTACTAACACAGGGGACTATAGGTTAATTAGTCCCTAAACAGTACTAACACAGGGGACTATAGGTTAATTAGTCCCTAAACAGTACTAACACAGGGGACTATAGGTTAATTAGTCCCTAAACAGTACTAACACAGGGGACTATAGGTTAATTAGTCCCTAAACAGTACTAACACAGGGGACTATAGGTTAATTAGTCCCTAAACAGTACTAACACAGGGGACTATAGGTTAATTAGTCCCTAAACAGTACTAACACAGGGGACTATAGGTTAATTAGTCCCTAAACAGTACTAACACAGGGGACTATAGGTTAATTAGTCCCTAAACAGTACTAACACAGGGGACTATAGGTTAATTAGTCCCTAAACAGTACTAACACAGGGGACTATAGGTTAATTAGTCCCTAAACAGTACTAACACAGGGGACTATAGGTTAATTAGTCCCTAAACAGTACTAACACAGGGGACTATAGGTTAATTAGTCCCTAAACAGTACTAACACAGGGGACTATAGGTTAATTAGTCCCTAAACAGTACTAACACAGGGGACTATAGGTTAATTAGTCCCTAAACAGTACTAACACAGGGGACTATAGGTTAATTAGTCCCTAAACAGTACTAACACAGGGGACTATAGGTTAATTAGTCCCTAAACAGTACTAACACAGGGGACTATAGGTTAATTAGTCCCTAAACAGTACTAACACAGGGGACTATAGGTTAATTAGTCCCTAAACAGTACTAACACAGGGGACTATAGGTTAATTAGTCCCTAAACAGTACTAACACAGGGGACTATAGGTTAATTAGTCCCTAAACAGTACTAACACAGGGGACTATAGGTTAATTAGTCCCTAAACAGTACTAACACAGGGGACTATAGGTTAATTAGTCCCTAAACAGTACTAACACAGGGGACTATAGGTTAATTAGTCCCTAAACAGTACTAACACAGGGGACTATAGGTTAATTAGTCCCTAAACAGTACTAACACAGGGGACTATAGGTTAATTAGTCCCTAAACAGTACTAACACAGGGGACTATAGGTTAATTAGTCCCTAAACAGTACTAACACAGGGGACTATAGGTTAATTAGTCCCTAAACAGTACTAACACAGGGGACTATAGGTTAATTAGTCCCTAAACAGTACTAACACAGGGGACTATAGGTTAATTAGTCCCTAAACAGTACTAACACAGGGGACTATAGGTTAATTAGTCCCTAAACAGTACTAACACAGGGGACTATAGGTTAATTAGTCCCTAAACAGTACTAACACAGGGGACTATAGGTTAATTAGTCCCTAAACAGTACTAACACAGGGGACTATAGGTTAATTAGTCCCTAAACAGTACTAACACAGGGGACTATAGGTTAATTAGTCCCTAAACAGTACTAACACAGGGGACTATAGGTTAATTAGTCCCTAAACAGTACTAACACAGGGGACTATAGGTTAATTAGTCCCTAAACAGTACTAACACAGGGGACTATAGGTTAATTAGTCCCTAAACAGTACTAACACAGGGGACTATAGGTTAATTAGTCCCTAAACAGTACTAACACAGGGGACTATAGGTTAATTAGTCCCTAAACAGTACTAACACAGGGGACTATAGGTTAATTAGTCCCTAAACAGTACTAACACAGGGGACTATAGGTTAATTAGTCCCTAAACAGTACTTACACAGGGGACTATAGGTTAATTAGTCCCTAAACAGTACTAACACAGGGGACTATAGGTTAATTAGTCCCTAAACAGTACTAACACAGGGGACTATAGGTTAATTAGTCCCTAAACAGTACTAACACAGGGGACTATAGGTTAATTAGTCCCTAAACAGTACTAACACAGGGGACTATAGGTTAATTAGTCCCTAAACAGTACTAACACAGGGGACTATAGGTTAATTAGTCCCTAAACAGTACTAACACAGGGGACTATAGGTTAATTAGTCCCTAAACAGTACTAACACAGGGGACTATAGGTTAATTAGTCCCTAAACAGTACTAACACAGGGGACTATAGGTTAATTAGTCCCTAAACAGTACTAACACAGGGGACTATAGGTTAATTAGTCCCTAAACAGTACTAACACAGGGGACTATAGGTTAATTAGTCCCTAAACAGTACTAACACAGGGGACTATAGGTTAATTAGTCCCTAAACAGTACTAACACAGGGGACTATAGGTTAATTAGTCCCTAAACAGTACTAACACAGGGGACTATAGGTTAATTAGTCCCTAAACAGTACTAACACAGGGGACTATAGGTTAATTAGTCCCTAAACAGTACTAACACAGGGGACTATAGGTTAATTAGTCCCTAAACAGTACTTACACAGGGGACTATAGGTTAATTAGTCCCTAAACAGTACTAACACAGGGGACTATAGGTTAATTAGTCCCTAAACAGTACTAACACAGGGGACTATAGGTTAATTAGTCCCTAAACAGTACTAACACAGGGGACTATAGGTTAATTAGTCCCTAAACAGTACTAACACAGGGGACTATAGGTTAATTAGTCCCTAAACAGTACTAACACAGGGGACTATAGGTTAATTAGTCCCTAAACAGTACTAACACAGGGGACTATAGGTTAATTAGTCCCTAAACAGTACTAACACAGGGGACTATAGGTTAATTAGTCCCTAAACAGTACTAACACAGGGGACTATAGGTTAATTAGTCCCTAAACAGTACTAACACAGGGGACTATAGGTTAATTAGTCCCTAAACAGTACTAACACAGGGGACTATAGGTTAATTAGTCCCTAAACAGTACTAACACAGGGGACTATAGGTTAATTAGTCCCTAAACAGTACTAACACAGGGGACTATAGGTTAATTAGTCCCTAAACAGTACTTACACAGGGGACTATAGGTTAATTAGTCCCTAAACAGTACTAACACAGGGGACTATAGGTTAATTAGTCCCTAAACAGTACTAACACAGGGGACTATAGGTTAATTAGTCCCTAAACAGTACTAACACAGGGGACTATAGGTTAATTAGTCCCTAAACAGTACTAACACAGGGGACTATAGGTTAATTAGTCCCTAAACAGTACTAACACAGGGGACTATAGGTTAATTAGTCCCTAAACAGTACTAACACAGGGGACTATAGGTTAATTAGTCCCTAAACAGTACTAACACAGGGGACTATAGGTTAATTAGTCCCTAAACAGTACTAACACAGGGGACTATAGGTTAATTAGTCCCTAAACAGTACTAACACAGGGGACTATAGGTTAATTAGTCCCTAAACAGTACTAACACAGGGGACTATAGGTTAATTAGTCCCTAAACAGTACTAACACAGGGGACTATAGGTTAATTAGTCCCTAAACAGTACTAACACAGGGGACTATAGGTTAATTAGTCCCTAAACAGTACTAACACAGGGGACTATAGGTTAATTAGTCCCTAAACAGTACTAACACAGGGGACTATAGGTTAATTAGTCCCTAAACAGTACTTACACAGGGGACTATAGGTTAATTAGTCCCTTAACAGTACTTACACAGGGGACTATAGGTTAATTAGTCCCTTAACAGTACTTACACAGGGGACTATAGGTTAATTAGTCCCTTAACAGTACTTACACAGGGGACTATAGGTTAATTAGTCCCTAAACAGTACTAACACAGGGGACTATAGGTCAATTAGTCCCTAAACAGTACTAACACAGGGGACTATAGGTTAATTAGTCCCTAATCAGTTCTCCAAGAATCCACTTGTTTAGGTACTGGTGTCTGTGGTAGACATCTGTTTGTTATAGTATTGGAGACTTGCTGAATAAGAGATAGCCTTGGTATTAATTAAGAACTTGTCGGGGGTCTGCCCTGCTTTTATGTCTTAATGCTGTAGCAGTGGACAGGCTGGGGTTACTGACATTAAATAGCATTTTGACAAGGTGAGATATGACATTGAAATTTATGAATGTCCAGGTGACCAGGAGGTCATGACCTTGTGTTTCAGGTCTTGCATATTAATAGTTTGGCACAGATATCAGTTCTAAAGTGTATTGCTATGTTCCTTTTATAGGTAACTTATTTTAAAAAAAATGGGAATTGCTTCATTTTCAATCTTCGTCAGCATCTTCTAGAAGCTGTATGTATACAATGTTTAAATGTTGATTTCTGGTCCTTATAACTGGATAATATAAAAGTGTATATGTACAATTGTAGTTCAGTATGTTATTTATAAAAGCAATATATTTTGTTGCAATCGGCACATCAACTAGTAAAAATGAAGTTAATAGCCTGTGATATGGTACGAATCATGGCCGAAAAATGGACGAAATCGCTGCAAGTTTAGCGTTCTATTTTTGAAAACAAATTACTTAAAATCAAAAGTTTTTCTGAAAATGAATCATCATGTGTAGTCTCATCACGAATCAAGAAATATTTCAGATACATGATCTGAATTTTTAAATATCATTGAAAAACTGTCAAAACTGTATCAATTGTGGTAGCGCAATGTTACTGCTTAATTTTAGATAATCCATCAAACAATGATTACTCTCTTTGTAAATTATGAACAAGTGCTTGTTTTGATATTGTATTGGTAAAACCTGGAAAGTTTGTTTGAGGTTGAGGATAACTTACTCCATACCTTAACTCTCTATATATGTACTTTCAGTTACAACAAGCTGAGATAGAGCGGCTGAGACAAGAAGAAGCAAATCTTACAGCATTAGCAGCAATAGGTCCTCGAAAGAAACGCAAAACAGACTTTGGGGAATCAAGTCAGGTACAAAGCAGATATGCAGATAATTTGACAGAATCAGACCTGCAATGATGTCCAAACCATTGGTTAAAGCTTGAATCTGGCTGTATGATAGTAGTTGTACATGTATATATACTATCAGGTGATAGAAGTAACCCTCTGGTAAAGGCTTCCCATGCTTATACTTGACATATTAGTCATTGAAACTTCAAATCTTTTCAACCCAATATACTTATAGTATTTATAGAATTTTATGACAGCAATTTTAACCGCATTTTCCCCAACAGATTGAAGCACAGTCACTTTATATATTCCTGAAGTTGTATCAGGGGCGATACAATTTTCAATCTAACTGACATCACTTCTCAATGATTTGTTTCTCCACAGGGAAGCTCTGGAGGGTCGAATCTGTCCAATGGTCTTGGATCATCGTCATCTAGATCTGTAAGTACACTAAAACTTTTCTGCTCTATAAACAAGTAGCTACTTAATACTTCATTTTAGTGTGAAGATTTTTCTGATTTTCTTAAGGACCCAATTTAAGAAGTCCTGGTATGCAGTGTATTCTAAGGAATAAAGGCACATCTGCTTTAAAGACTTGTAGACAATATACATCAATGGTTTAACATCTGTAGTTTATGTTACATCCTGTTATAAAGCGTATATTCCTACTACAGCCTCGTTAATAGTGTATATACCTGAGGGGTGATGGTCTAACACAAGGCTTTGCTGAGGGCTAGACAACCAAAAAATCACCCAGAGGATTGGAGATTTCTTTATTACCGGTTATTTTTCTAACATCATTTTAATACTTTACAGAAACAATAATTTTCAGCATTGGTGTTATCCTGATGTTCATATGATCTCTCAGGTCAAGAGTGGATTGTTCCTGTGATGTCATAGTATTGTTTATGTTGATGTACTATCTGTAATACCCTAGGGGTTGATAGAGAAATCATACCCAAGGGGACGACAGTAAAATCATGAACAGGTTAAGTTGGACATAACTGATTGGAGGAGTATATGGAGCAAAAAAATTTCAAGTATTAGTCATAACCACAAGCTATATTTGAGATAAAGTAATGATAGGTAGTATATATCACAATCAATCATAAAGCATTGTATATTTTCGGCTGGTGGTAAAGGAATTGTAGCAGATGTAGTATAACTTACACAAGCTTCTTCTTTTGTGATTGTAGACATCCAGACCAAGGATTAAAAGAGTAACATTAAGAGATGTCCTTTTCTTCATGGAACAAGAACGATCTATGTGCAAGTCCAAGGTTCTATACAAGACATTTTTGAAATGAGGAGGTACCGAATTTAGGACTTGGTAATAAGAAATTGGACTCTTTTATCCGTCTCTGGGAGACAGGCTGTGTGAAGCTTTAAAAGTGCTTGATTGTACACAGAAAAAGGTGGGTAAGTGGTATACTGCCTACACACAGTGCTACGGTTGTAGGAAATGTCTTGGACAAGGAGTAAAGCCTCATGGCGACACCTGTCTAACATGCTGTGTCGCTACACAGTCAGGTCATCAGCCATAGCTGTCGGTGCTTGCCAACAAGGGGACAAGTCTACAGATACAGAAGGGAACATCACCATGTTTCCCAAGTTGATTGCCAAGGAAAGATGCGTTCTGCAATAAGACAAGATCAGGAGGTTCACTCGGCATCAGGAACCCATATGTTCCTTGCTTCGATGTGTCTTGCAATAATAAGACAAACAAAATCCTATCCCCAGATCAACAAAGGAGTTAGTAGGACACCTAGGTTGCTATACATGTAACTGTTATAGCATGTCAGGAGTGGAATTCAAAGCTGAAGAGAACAGCCAAAGTAGTCATATCTACTCAAACACTGAGATTGTGATGGTCCCGTCAGGAGAGCTAGACCAGTCCTGGTAGTCAGGTCTGCTCCATGCTTTAAGAGACAGAGCGGCCATGCTAGCTCAAACAGATCGACTGTGATGGCCATTGTCTGGAGAGCTATGGAGATGACTCTGGGCAATCATGTCTGGTGCAACAGAGAGACTGACTGCTGCGTCAGGAGACCTAGAGAGACAAATCTGGGTAGTCACATCGGTTCTCATATGAAAGCAGACTGACGACCACATCAGAGGACCTGGAGAGATATCTCTGGCTAATGGTGTCTACTGCAACAAAGACTGTGATGGCCACGTCAGGCTAGTCATCATTGCTCTTAACAAAGATATTGAATGATGCCTCAGGAGAGTTTGAAAGATAGACCGAGACTGGTATCGACAGTAGAGACTGATAGCTGTAGATATGGAGAAGAGTTTGGCAAGTACCTAGCTCAGAGGAGGAGAGGAGCTTTGTGTGTTAACTGTGATGTTCTGGAAAAAATATTTATGTTGTAAAAGCTGAACTTGTGATAAGAATATCAGGTGTGGGTTACACAGAAGCACTTACCCAGCATTACTTTTACAGGAGGAGATGCTTCAGGTTTACTGTTAACCAAAGACTGTGATTTGATGGGGAAACTTTTCCTGGATACAGGAGATTGTGGAGTAGTGGTCATATTGTGATGGTTGACCAGGTTACTCTAAAAGATGCTTTTGTTTCAAGAAATATAACATTAGGGTGATGACATGGTTGTTGCAGAAAACTTCCAAACGTTTCCCTGTGAAATGGTTCGGAATCAAAGGAATGCAAAAAGAACAGTCACTGCTGAGGTTGTACAGCTTGCTGCTTTGGAAGAGGAGATGTTCTTCAATGCAATGAGAAGAAAAGGAGCAATGAACTGAAACTCACTTGAGGTGCAAGAAAGATATCAAAAGTTGTGGGAACTGGGAGATGAAGTAGAGATGTGAAGTTGGTACTTGGTAAAACTATAACTTAGTATAAGTTCATAGAAGGATCTAGTAATGGGGTCAGTTAGTGCTACTACATGTACTACCGTCATGTATGTGGGTGTCTCACCCTATGTCTGGTAAGTGTGGTCTGTGTGATGGGTGGTTAGCAGTCACGTGCGTACTACCGTCATGTATGTGGGTGTCTCACCCTATGTCTGGTAAGTGTGAGAAGAACGTCTTATGTCTCTACCATTCCATTACCTGAAATTATTTGATTATTATATGTTATATTTAGTCAGAGGGAAAACTGGTATATAATGCATACACAGACCTTGCTCAAAATATGTAAATAATAATAAGGGGAAAAAAATGTTTTTCTTCCATATTTTCTAGACATATTTATTAATCCTGTTAATATTTTTTCAAACTGCTTAACATTGGCATTTAAAAGAGAAAATGAGACTTACCGGTAATATGTGACCCTATATACTACAATATGTACTTTATGAGAGCTCTTTCAGATTTGAATATAGTGGGCAGAGAGAAATGTAATTTTAATATATATCTTGTAATATATTGGTGACAGGGTCCGAAATAATTGTTAAGTGGGCCCATGGAAGAAATAATTATGGATGGTCGAGATCACATAAAACAGTCACCCCTTTTCCCCATTTACTTATTTCTGGTATAGCCCTGATTTTTTATGGCAGAGCTTTGAATTTTTAAAAAGAAAACCGATTTTGTGCCAAACACATTTCACAGAAGCCCTGTGATTACTAGAGTTATTCTTTAAAAAGTAGCCATACAGCATATTGTCAGTGTGTGTGTCTATGTATATGTGGAATGTCAGCCGGCCAGGTAGTAGGTAGTTGTGACCCCAAACAGTCAATAAAAATTTACAGATCTAGAGCAGTGGGAAAAGCATTGAACCGGAATGTAGCAAGTACGGGGTGTTATAACATAACACATCATCACAGTGCGACACCCATCTCACAGTGAGGAATGACGAGGAATGGTAGACCACGCACAGTGGTGGGAGGTATCACTATAACTAGGGCCTGGTGATATTGAAAGTAAATGTTAAGTTTTGATATTCAAGTTGTACACTTTTTGTGGACTAAGCAGGAAAGGGCAGTGCCTAACCCTGCAAGGCAGCAGTCAACCATGACCTTTTGGTGACCTTAACACCATATGGCCTTGGTTTGACCTTTAAACTTACACTGACCTTTGTGTCAAACATTTTTGTGTAACAACATTTATCTTCAGACTGAGATGTGTATTTCAGTCACCATACAAAATATTTGGGAACTCATGAATATTTATGCTGAGTATGCTTTGTCATCTGTAATCGTAACCAAGTTTTATCACCACATGTGACCTTCAGGTTTGTCACATGCTTATCATTAGTAGGGTCATTGAATTGCATCATGAATACTGCTTTATATTGTTGTCTACATTTTGCAAACGTTTTCTACTAAGCATTGTAATCGGATAAAAATTGTGTTCAGATGCTTCTGTAGATGTCCTGGTGTCGTATCTACAAATGATTTGTTGATATGTTTAATTACAGGAACCTGCAATATTGTATTGGCCTCATAACACTGCTTTTGTTACAAAGATGTATTTATTTTAGTATCTCTGTTAAAAAGCTTTATTTTTCTTCAAAATTTTTAATACACTTTTGAAGTATTGAGACTTTATAAAAAATAATGTATACCTATGTGGTTGAGATCAATGTGAACGATATGCAAATTAACCTTACTGTTTATTCCACTGGTCCTTTGGACTATTGTTTTCACGATTACCCCAGGAATATTGCTCCGACAATAGAAATAAATTACATTCAAAAAAACCTTCTAGCAAAAATTGTTTGTTCAATGTCTAATACTGCAAGAAGTAAATTATGTTGGAATTTTTTAGCAGTTCAAAACAAAACTGAAGAAAATTTAGTTAAAATTGACATTAAATGTCTGGAATTTTCATGAAAGTCAAGGAAACTGGTGGAATTGAAAGTAACTTACTGTTCAGAATGGGTAGAATGAATAATTCTGATTTACTGTTTATTTTCATGATAATGATCCAAGTACTAGCATGTATACTACTGTTTCTATCAAAGTTTGATCTTGTGTTGTGCTATTTAGTCATGGTCAGGCACTCCTGGTAGGATTAAACATTCAGTTGATTTTTTATTTGTGCTTTGCTACATAAATGTACTTTCAAATTTAATCCTGGTCAAGGTACTCCCAGTGGGAAATTAAATCAGGTGACCTTTGACCTGCTCTTAGCTGCGGGAACCGTAGCTTCAAGGCCGATCTTTTTAAAAAAATCGGACCATCTATAACATTCTTTATTTTTTTAAAGATCGGGCCTAGAAGCTATGGTTCCCGCAGCTAACTTGCTCTATGATACTTTCCAGTTTAGTTCTGGTCAAAAGATACTCCCAGTGGGAGTTTTTGATTCACGTGACCTTTGACCTGTGCTATGCTGCATGTACTTTCCATTTTAGTCCTGGTCAAGATACTCCCAATAGGAGTTTTCATAAAGTTGACCTTTGACCTGTGCTATGCTATCTTCCATTTTAGTCAATTGCATATTTCAGGGGTTTTGAACAAACATAACTTGCTATGACAAATGCAGCACTACTGTTACAAAGTATTTCATTCATGCAAAATGTTTACATGTTGATTATGAACTTCCATTTTCTCAATTGATTAGCCAGTGCGAAACATGAGCTTTTGTGTTTATACAAGATATATGTAAAAACATGTATGAAAAAATGTTTATATGTACACATACCGTAAAAACCCATGTAATTTGCGCACCTGTGTAATTTGCGCAGGTATTTTTTAGGGCTGAAAATCGGGAACATTTTCGTAATAGTATGGGGAAATGCACCGAGATGTCGAAACGTAATGTCGTAAGTTGATCGGCGATTCTCTGGCATAGGAATTCGGCTAAACTTTTTTTGTTAACGGTTACCTATTTATTAATACTTTTCACATAAACTCACATAACACATTATGTATCTTTTATTAATGTTTGACATAAATAAATTTGTTGATCGTCATTTGTCTTAGAGTTCCATGTACCAAGGGACATAATCCAAGATGGCGATCTCTCAGAATCGTCGATCTTTTCCTGAAAAAAACTTGAAATTTTCTATACCTGTGTATTTTATGCACCCCCCACTTTGGGTATTAAATTTCTGAAAAAAAAGTGCGCAAATTGCATGGGTTTTTACGGTACATACACTAGAGATACTTTAAAGTATAATTTTCTGTTCAAACATCAGGACCTTATTCTTAACACAGCATGTGTCTGCACTCTTAGTACTTTCATTCTGAAGATGTCTGTCATAATGTTATCAGTCTGCTACGACGGGAAAAGCTGGGATACATCAAATCGAGCTTATTAAAAACATGTGTTCTCTACATGTAGTGATTGCCAGCTGCAAATGTGAGTAACTGGTCATTTTAATTACATTTTCATTAAAAAGTATAGATGTTAAAACTTGCATGCTGTACTAGTCTATATATATATAAAGTTCTCTAAAAGTCTGTCGGTTTAACTTTTGCACTGTTGCTTCGTAACTAAATTGGCTGTTTTTATTTCCCATTAGATTGTTCCCTACTTCAGATTAACTATCCCAACCCTCGTACAGTGTTCACCCAGCCCACCTAGCACATATCCACTTGTTATCTGTCCTAGTCCATCACACCTACTCTATGATGTTACCATTTTTTAAGCTGCTTGTTCAATTTCTTCCAAGAATAATATAGAATCTCACTAGTGCTGTAACAACTTTCAGGATTTGAATTTTTCAATCTCTTGAGACTGAAAGCTAGTCTTCCAATGTGTCTGGGCTGTATTGGGCTCTATTCCTACCCTTTGGCTTGACATGTTGGTAACTACCTCATTTTCTAGGTGGTACTTTTAAATATGCAAATTTCCTTGGCTTTCCTGTGTAAGTTACATAGAATTTGTAATCCGATATGGTAAATATTGTGTTGAATTTTCTTTTATTTTCTTATGTCGAATTAATTATTTTCATATAACATTAGAAATTTCAAAGTTGAATCATCTATGTGTCGTCTCTAGCAGTGTTTATCCGAGTTCCTATGTCCAACAGTTAAAAACTCTGGAAGTCTACTACAATATACACTTCAGTATTTATATGATAATAGGAGATATAGTATTATATGAAATTAAATTAGACTAGCAAGATTGGAGCTAAGACAACTTTGTTATAGAAAAAGGTCATTGTGTTTCTTTTACTTCTTAAAACAATTTTAAAACCTCAATATGTCATTGATCTACCTTCAAGTAACCTGAATATAAATCCAAATTATTTTGTAACAATTCCAAAATAAATGCAAGTACACATTATGTGTATTATTGCATGTAAAACTTGTTGCATGGATCAGTTTAAGAACTGTTGAAGATTTCACGATCATATACCAGCACTGTTCAATGTGTTTTGTACAATTATGAGTTTTGTACAATTTTTTTGATCTAAAGTCAGAGGTCGACATACAATATCACTAAACAACTGAACAGGTAAAGAAAAGCTAATCAAACTGGGACCATGTCTCTTGTAACTATATCTAAGAATTTTAATGGGTTTCTTGTATTCATTTAAAATGGCTAAATGAAATACAGTGGTGCAATATATGGCAATTTAATCTGATATCTATCGGAATACTTGCCAATACAGCCATGGTAACCTACCAGAACAGTATGTGATGGTCATGTAGCGCGTTCTACTGGCAGTATAGTTGATTATGAGTACTTTTTCTCACCCGAGTACCAAGCTTACCGATGGTGTTTTTCTAGTTCATGGTTGTCGCACATCTTTAATATAACAGGCAAGGCTAGTGTAGTGAATAATTAACATATCAACAAATGATTTATCTCTTTAAACCAGGAAAGAAGCCGACTTTTTGGGGCCCATGGATCGGTAGAGTACCACAGGTATTGTCACTAAACCATAGTCACGGGATCACTCTTTAGCATCAATCATGGTGATGATATTCATATCTGCAGTGTTCACAAATGGTGCTTATAAATCATATCAGTAGATCATATTGCAAGTATTGAAACATCACTAGTTCTTTTTAGCTCACCTGGCACGAAGTGCCAAGTGAGCTTATGCCGTGGTGCGGCGTCCGTCCGTGTCAATATTTTACTTTAAACGACTTTTTCTTAATAACCGAAAGTCCTAGGGTGATGATATTTGGCCAGAAGCAAACTGGGATAAGGGGCTACCATATTTGTTCAAATAAATGACCGTCATCTATTTTCAAGGTCACAGGGGTCAAATATGTTAAACACTTTAAACAACTTCTTCTCAATAACCAAACTGCCCAGGGAGATGATATTTGGTCAGTAGCATGCTAGGGTGAAGGGCTACCAAGTTTGTTCAAATGAATGACCTTCAACCATATTCAAGGTCACGGGGGTCAATTGTCTTAAAAAACCTTTAAATAACTTCTTCTGAATAACCA